TGTGTGTGTGTGTGTGTGTGTGTGTGTGTGTGTGTGTGTGTGTGTGTGTGTGTGTGTGTGTGTGTGTGTGTTTTGAACCAGGAACATTGTATCTTTAGTAACAGTTCCCATACTGGGTGTGCTACTGATGCTACCTAGGTTATTCTCTCTAAGATTGTACAGGCTCTATATAAAACAACAATTTTTTTTGGTTCATTGAGTGTCTGATGTAAAATCACAAAAAGAAAAAACTAGGAAGCAGAGTAGCCTATATAAATAAACAACCATACTACACAATATTTATACATAATAATGATGTATATAATCATGAATATATACTACATATAAATATGACAATTTAAATATGATGCTTGAGGATAATATACAATATATGAATTTATATAATCTATAAGTAAGTAATATAAATTGTTTAGAATTAATATGATTTATGAATACATATACTACGCTTCATAAATAATTAATTTATTATAAATAAATGTAATAATTTCTTTGCTAAATTGTGTTTCAGTAATAGGCATTGCAGTATTTGGCACATGTTGAAATTTGTCTAGCATAAAAATTCTACATAAAATGTGTTTTGATCATTCGAATTGTGTTTTTAAGTAAAGCTCAGGACTGTTCTGAAATGAATTTACAAATTTGAATTCATTTTAATTTTCTAGGTTTTACAGGAATTTATCTGTTGAGATATAATTGCTAATGAACCTTGAAAATTGTTGATATATTCAACTTGTTTCAGGGCATTTTCAAGCTTTCAAGGAGCGAGCTCTATGCAAGAATACAATCAAAATTACCACAACCTTTTTCACTGTAACACTATATTTTGTGACACTTTATACCTCAACACTTTATACCACAACACTTTATCCTGCAGCATTTAATCTGTCAAAAATAGTACTGCAACTCACACATATGTGTGGAGGTATTAAGCATCACAGTCCCAAGTGTGGCAGTATGAAGTGTAGTGGTATAAAGTGTTGCGGCATAAAGTGTAACAGTATAAAGCATTGTAGTTCAAAGTGTAGCTGTAATTTTGATTGCTCTTTTGAGTACAGCTCCTTGATTGATTTGAAATGCCCTGATAGAAGTTGAATTTATCACTATTTCTAATGGTTTCAAAGCAATTATCTTTCCACACAGAATTCCTGTAAAAGCTTTGATATATAATAAATTTAAACTTTTCAATTCATTTCAAAGCTCTCATCCGCTTTACTTGGAACGAAGATTCAAACAATCAGAACACATTCAATGTGTAACTTTTGCACCAACAGAACATCAACAGTCATGGTGAACACGTTGGTGATTTTTCTTTTGTTTTTAATAAAATACTTCTCCTCAGCCCAGGCAGGTGTAGTAAGCAGGAGTAGCAAAACACCTGCCTCCTACCATCTAAAATAAGATAGAAGCATTCCTAATGTAACAGGCATACGTTTCAAAACACTCAATGCTAACCTAGGAAAATCTGTGTGAATCAATTTTTTTCAAATGTAGCAGTCAGGCATATGCTGAGCATTAGTCCAGGCAGTCCATGATGCTGCCTGGCTATACAGCAGAAAAGTACATCCTAATTTTTTTTTAATATAGGTGTAACAATATAATGTGTAAAAAATGCATTCCCAATGCATTGCTCAACAATTTTTCATTACAACACCCACAAAAATTCATGGAAATTATGAGGGCCTAGCAGAAGTAGCTGAGTGCAACACCTATTCATAACAAATGCATGATTTGATGCGTAATAGCTGTTAAATTCAGCCCTGGCTGTAAAAAATTATTTGCTGCATAATTGACATACATGGATCAACAGTGATCTCTCAACCACCAATCTTCACTTAGCTATGAAATCCAAAAAAATTTGGGAAAGTGAACTTATGCAGCCCGTTTTCAGCCTGCAAACTCGCCATGTCTTTTCTCCAAAGATTTGGGATCAAGCCGAGTACTGTATACTGTATTTGACAGCACTTGATGAAGCCTCAGGAAACTGAGAGAAATCAGAAAATACATGGAGAAAACTCACCAGCGTCTTCCGTTACCCCCCAGCCAAGAATGGTAACAGGGTATCCCTCAGAGAATACTTCCCATGGTGATGGACCCAGTGGAGCTGCGAGAGTGATGGGTGAAATATATTCAGTGAATGAGACTTCGGTGAGCATTCTCACGAGGGCCAAATTGTTGATGGGATACGAGTAACCAGGATGAACTTTGACGCCGTTTTTGGTGTCCTTCAGAGTGCCCTGTATTTCTCCTGTGGAACTTTCATCACCTTGGATTGTCGTCAGGCCACCCAGGGAGTATGTGATTGTTTTGCTGATCTTAAAAATGGGGTCCTGGGCGGAGACCCTGAATAAATGATTGCAGAGAGAGAAAAAGAAACTCAAGGATCAATGGTGTGAAGGACCTGATGAAAGACATAACAGCCTGCAGATATAGATTTAAATGATCAGCACCAAATTTCCATAACAATTTCATCATATAATAAGTCCTGAAAAGTGTTGAAAACACAACAGCAACAAGTTTCAGTCTATTTTTGGTTTTTCAAGGGTCAGGCAGCAAATGTTTGGTTATATAAGGATTAGGAAACCTTATGAGGAAGCTTGAGAAACTGTTGGCTTTTTGCTATTGCCTCATTTCACTATTCCAAATGATGTAATGTCACTTCAAGAAATATCCTGTAATTCTCTAGCATTCCCAAAATGTCGTTATTCCTCATTTACTTGAATTCTGCCATAATTATCAAACGACTTTGAAATCCTGGATACATGCACGTTTTTCCTTTAAACCCATTCAACATGTACAGGTATTTTGTTGACCATTAAATTTTTCATATATTATGATAGTAGCTTGAATCACACAATATATCAAAGATTGTTCCATATGGAAAATGAATGTCAAGGCCCCGATTCAAGGAACGTTTCAAGCACTGAATATTCGGTTTTCTTCTTTCAAATCAATGGACCCAGAAAGAGCAAAGAAAAAAAAACCCGAAGTGGCAATGATTTCGAATAAACAGTCCACAGCTGGATTGAATAGGCAGGATGATGTTTTAAATCAAGTGTAAATCCATGCAAATGCTAGTTTTTTGCTAATATTCCATGACTTAAAGTCTCCCATTTGTGATGTCAGAATGAGATTTTCCCCAGCATCTGCTATAGGCATAGATAATTAAACCAGCACTTGGAAAGGGGAAGGGGTTTAACTTTAGCAACTGATAGTAAAACTGCAGTACAGGTGGTACCTCACAATCTGATGGTCAAAGTTCCAGGGAGGTTGATTAGTAATTCAACCCTTCCCCCATAATTTGATCTGCTTTGGCCACTTTTTTGCATTTTGGTGCTTACATATTTGAATTTCACAGTGTCTCACAATTCAAATGCTTTGGAATTTGACCCTATAGTTTTCCAACAGATTGGGGTCAAGTCACCAGGCAGCAGGCACCAACTGTACAAAATAGTGTTCAGCTCAAGGAACCTTTGATGATGCATAATTTATTCCTTTCAGTAGTACACTCTGCACTAAAAATGGTATAGTAAAAGGATTTGCTCACGAACGAGAGGCGGCGACGCAGGAAGCAGTCGTTAGTATGACCTGGTTCGAAATGAGCGACCCTCCACAAACAGCATTGTCACTCGAGATGTGGGCCATCCAGGGCGCAAGAGTCCTGTTTTGTACCCTGAGGCCACCTTTAATTTTCGGGGGCGGTTCCTGGTGCTGTTGCACACTCTCTTCTTCATTTCCCAGAGTTATTCCAGTGTTTAAGGCAAAGGTTCCTTCCAGTGACATCACCAAGCAAAAAAGGGCAGCCCAGAGATACATGATTGAAGTCTGCATATTCTGTTATTTTCGTTTTGTACGGACACTCGAACTAATGCTCTGCTGTTAGGCTGAAAGCGAAATTATTCCCACTGTCTTGTTTTGATTCTGTAAAAATCCAAAGCATGAGTATTGGGAAGCTAGCCTGTAGTTTTTGGAACTAGGCTTTTTCCTTTGATTTTTTGTCCAAAATTAAAGAGAGATTGAGAAGCAATCAATTGGAGCAGTGTTCCCCGAATAACTTTTTGGGTCCATGGACTGAACAAAACCAAAAATGCAGATTGGTAAATTCCTCAAAATTTCGTATGTGTACCAGCAAAGATTCAAACATCTTTTGTCGACTGGAACAAGTTCTGCTTGAAAGAGTTTATGGAACTCATTCAAAAATTTTCTGCTTCTCATTTGCCAAAAACTAAACATCAGGGAAGCAGGTACAGTATATACAGGGAAATTTATTCTAACGAATAGCAAGGTGGACTGGAAGTGGTTTCTTGGGATGAAAAAATTAAAATACGTTATTTCAGCATGCGAAAATTTTTCTGAAGTGTTGGTTGGGAGGAAAGTGAACTTCTTATTTTTTCATCAGATAATTTCATCTCTGACATTGTCTCTGCAACAATTTGGATAAAGATAATGGAATTCATTGCCACTTTTGTTAACTTCATTACGCTGCGGAAATTTTCCAGTGGTAAAAATCTTCCGAGGACCAGCGCTGGTCCGCAGACCATCGCAGGATATAATTGGGGAACACTGAATTTGACGGCTCAACTGAGGAAATGAAAGCTTCAGTTGCCACTTTTATTTGTCTCCACCTGTGGCTTTACCAATTGGAGATGAATCTCACACTTGAACAACAATCACCCCCTCAGTATTAGTATCGTCACTTCCCTGTTATTTCGCATTTCTCACTCCAGTGTGTTCTTTCCTTTCTCTGGAATGTTTCAGGTAGTCATCAGAGCAGGATGAGTCTCCTTCAATAAATTAAGGTCATATTTGCGTTTAAAGTCATTTGCTAGCTGCAGCAAGGTGGGACAAAAGTGAAAAACTTTTCTGCATCCCGCAGTTTTCAGTCCTCATAGTCGAGTCTTCTCCACGTGGCAAGAATTAAAGGGAGGAAAAATGAGACGCATATAGGCAATAGGTGTGATCCAGGAATTACGCGCCATCATCGAATTTTTATTTATTTCTCATTTTAGTGCTCAAGCAATTCATCCCAGAGCTGTAATTGAATCCCACGTGCAATCGAAAACAGCACATACTGCCAAGCTGTATTCGCTACTTGATGCTTGATGTACTGTAATTACAGTAATGAACGCGCGAATGAGATATTCCTTGCTCGGAATATACTTTTTTTTTTATTGATTGCTGCTTCTGTGGCCTGAAATGACGATAACACTGTATTCACATTTCTCCGGAAATGGTTGAATCGTTTCTATCCAAAGCAACAAATTTTTTTCCCCATTTGTGGCAGTAGGATTTTGTCAAATGGGGGCTTAATTGGTCCCAATTGCTGTGACTTGACAAGATTTTTCCATTTATTACACTACTTTTCTGGTCTGACAAGCAGGAAAACGTTGGAACTTAGACAAACAGTATTTTTATGGAGACATGTGCCATCAGCATACCGCACTACATCCGCAGGTCTTCTGCACAGTTTACATACCCAATCATTGTTACCCGACCATTATAGTAAGGGTATAGCATATCCCGAATCGGATAATATTTTCAACGCAGAAAATATTGCTGCTATTTTTCCAGACTGTGGCAATAACGTGAAGTCCTAAAAAAAGGACAGGGTACAATACCGTACAAATGAGTCCATTCATAGAGAAAAAATATAGTTGGAAATGGATTTAAAATGTCCCCTAGAAAGATAGGGGAGTATTGTGACGCTTATTCAATTAGAACCAAAAATACTTCAATCTTTATACTGTTTCCAGAATCAGCAGCAGAAAAATTAAAATATGTTTGTGAACATTTCTGGATTCATTAAGATACAAAGTGCCGCACAGAACCTAGCAGTGGCTTTGATAACTTACAGGATGCATCATCACATTTGTTTGATCCATGCGCCAATGGAACACATTTAAGTATCACATAGATGAATCAACAAAAAAAAGAAAACACATGCATTGGTTTATCCACATGCTCAGGAAAAAATTTCATGTACATGCTGATTAAGCAGCCAGCAGGTGTGGGAATAACAAATCAAACTTGTTACACCTGAGTGAAAAAAAAGCAGTGAATTGATCAGCAGGGTGTGTTGATGAAAGTGCCTTTAAATATGATGAGAATAATCCATTCAAGCAGGCCAAGCCACTGCCTACATTGAGGAAAATAAATGTGAACTATCTCTGAAATAGTTTTGTTTTCAAGAGATCAGACATGATAGAAGGCAAAGAGGCAAATTGGTGCTGATGAAGATTGAAAAAAACATTCCATTCAGGACATCAGGATTTCACTTTCTGGACAAATGAAATTTGTTTTGGTAGTTGGGACTTGGACATGATGTGGGCGGACACATACTTGGTTCAAAATCAGGCTTTGAGTAATATGTAGCCATAAATGGGGAGAAAAGAGGTGATTCATGATTGCATGGCACGTGATGTACTGCAATGTAGAACAATGTACAACAGTTGTACATCATTCCACATTACTCCACATTGTTCCACATTGTTTCACATCATTCCACATAACAGTACATTGCATGCCATGAAGTGTAAAGCTATGTAGAACAATGTAGAATGATGTTCAAGTTGAAAATCATTCCACATTGCACAAAAATGACATATATTGATTTTTATTCAAATATTGTATAATATGATGAAATAGCATGAAAGGCCTTGTTTTAAGGACCATTTGCTCTTTTTGAACTCCCTTCTATCTTAATTGGGGAATTTTTTACAGATCTTCAAAGTTATAAGATCATTTTAGATTTTGCTAAAAAAAATTTAGCAAAATTTACAGTTGCACTCAACAATGAATCAACAATGTTCAAGTGAACATTGCAGGTACATTGCCTCAACCAAGAATTGAATTTCAAGGACATTTCTGTTTAAATTTGCAAAATTTATATTATCTCCAATTATATTTTAATGTTTATATATGTGTACATTGCTAATGCGTTAGCACTGCAGTGTTCAATGGTGCCCAGAATGGGGGTGCATTTTATTGCCCACAAAACATTGGGTGTACCATTCTGAAATGCATCTACAATGCATTTCAGAATGGCCTTCATTTTGGACCCTGTTCTCAATGGACTGCCAATGTGTCCTGCAAGGTTTAGCTCAAAATGTCAGCAGGGGAGCATTAGCTCAAAATCCCAACCATTGATACAATGCATTGAAGAACCCATTGGCAGTCCATTTCCTCAACAATCCACAGCCCAATGCCCCCCATAATTTGCTGGGCAGGAAGACTTATCCTCATCTTTTTTGGATGTGTGTGGACTACTAGTCCACACACATCCAAAACAACTCCAAGTCTGCAGTGGACTTGGAGTTGTTTTGGATGTATGCAGACTAATTTTGGATTGATTTGGACTAGTTTTGGAATAATTTAGGCGATAAAACAAACTTTGGATGCATTTTGGAGCAAAATTGGACCTCTTCTTGCTCCCTGGGACAGGGGGTTTGTTGTGCAGGCTCCTACTGTATTGGGAATTTTCTCCTTTGAGACTTAAGCACCACAATGTTTTCAAAATAGAATCAAGAAATGTTCATTTTCTCTGAAGAAGCATGATTGTATTTCATCATGCCAAGGTTCCACTCAATCATACACCTTAATGCATATTTCATCCAGCCAACTCAGCTGCGGTGGTGTCAATCCATTGCCGAAAGAAGGCAATGCCAATCCCCACATTAAAAACATCAGTTCTGCATTCATCACCTGCGGTTTTGTCAGGGAATTGTGCTCCTTCGTTTCCATTTCCAACACATGCATCCCTACAATAAGGTCCATTACCTTGATTGGTCGTCCTGTAGTAATTATTGACTGCAATTTGAATCGCTGATCCACCCAGTGTGTTCACCACAGGACCTCCAGTGTCACCCTGGAAGGAAACAGAATTGAAAAGGGGAGAAAATCATTGAATGTTCAAGATGGATGGTGGAAATAGAAGTCGTCTTCTGGGTGCCCAAAAAAGCTGCATGAGTTATCGCCAATGTTGGTGCTTTTGGGTTTGAATGCTGATGAGCAAGAAGGCATCTTCAATTTCCCTCATCTCACAATGTACTGCATTTCTATACTCAAATATGTATATATATATATATATATATATTTACATATATATACAATCAATCCCCACGTTTGTACCACCATCCATCACAGGACACTTTTGGGGTACAAAGTAAACCCGGCAGGTTGAAAACCACATAAGAAGGGCCTAAGCATTCAAAATCCTCTTGGGCGCCCTTCTGAAGTTGGGGTCTACCACCAGTCTTGCCAACAATATTTCAGTAAAAATTGGTACTTTAGGTTGCTCAAAAATCCGGTGAATTTTCAAAGCTTTCCTTGGGAGGCTTTGTGAGTGCTCTCAAGCACTTGAAAAAATCTGTACCTAAAAATTTGTAATTCCCTATCCCTCTATATGTTCAAAGCAATTATATTTCGTGGTATCAGTATTTCTTTTTTACAGTTGGAGGATATTTTCCACACTTCCATATATTTACTGTACAACATGTGTATTTTCCTCCTGAGCTCTCGGTATCATTTGGGTTTTTTGGCTTACTTTAGTGTGTTTTTCATGATCATACAATTATTTTCATGTCCTATTAGAATACTTTTGAATTTTGTCATCGTTTTCTTCTTTACTGGGACAACTCTGTGTACTTGAAAGTTGTCCTACTTTTGTGCAGCCATTGTGCAGTCCATTGGTCTAGCCATGGTCTAGCCCTGGATGTTTCAAAAATTTAGGGATCTTTTGGGGTAAATGGTTTTAATTAACTGCTTCAGGATAATTGAAGACTTTTTGGTATGACCTGAGTTCTTCACCCATATAACATTTGGCTAGAATTTGTCAAGTCAGCCATGGCATTTTTAAAGTTTCAAACATAATCTTGTTTATATCTTACAATTTTCAAAAAAAAATTGACTGATGACTGTAAAGGACTGACTGTAAAGGAATTGTCTC